CGAAAATACGCTCGCCCCCCAGCTCCCACTATATACTGAGGTCAAAGGGGGGGAGAAGAAAAGAAAACCAACAAAAAACCAAACCAAACCAAAACAAAACAAAAAAACAAAAAGCGAGGCGGGGGGAGGGAGGGAGCCCCGCGCTCAGTCCCCCGAGGATCTGCGGTTTCCCTGGGCTGGCTGCATGGAGAGGAAATCCCGGGAGCAAGAGCTTCTGAACTTGATCTCAACTCCAGGAGTCTTGTCTGAAGTGCTGATCTTCTTCTATAGCTGCTCAGCCATAGCGCTTTAGCCCTAGCCACGATATTTATATATCCATGTGCGTTGGTACCTATTACATCACCACCTACTGCTGTCTGCTGCAGCCCTCCGGTTTAGCTGAAAGTCAAATTATCACCCCTAGATGCTTAACAGCTCCGAAGCGTCTTGAAGGGAAAGGGTGAGCAGCATTGGTGCTAAACAAGAGGGACAGCACAAACTTTTAAAAAGAAAAGGTCATATTTTACGTTCATCACAGCAGCTTCCTTCTCTCTGTCTTCTTTCTTTCTTTTCCTTTCTTTCTTTTCCTTCCTTTCTCTCTCCCCCATCTATCCTTCCTTCTTTCTTTCTTTCTTTATTTATTTCTTTCTTTCTCTCTTTCTCTCTTTCTCTCTCTCCCCCCCTTCTTTCTTTCTTTCTTTATTTATTTCTTTCTTTCTCTCTTTCTCTCTCTCCCCCCCTTCTTTCTTTCTTTCTTTCTCTCTTTCTTTCTTTCTTTCTCTTTCTTTCTTTCTTTCTTTTTCTTTCTTTCTTTCTTTCTTTATTTATTTCTTTCTTTCTCTCTTTCTCTCTCTCCCCCCCTTCTTTCTTTCTTTCTTTATTTATTTCTTTCTTTCTCTCTTTCTTTCTCTCTTCCTCTCTTCCTCTCTTCCTCTCTTCCTCTCTTTCTCTCTTTCTCTTTCTCTCTTTCTCTCTTTCTCTTTCTCTCTTTCTCTTTCTCTCTTTCTCTTTCTCTCTTTCTCTTTCTCTCTTTCTCTTTCTCTCTTTCTCTTTCTCTCTTTCTCTTTCTCTCTTTCTCTCTCTCTTTCTCTTTCTCTCTTTCTCTCTCTCTTTCTCTTTCTCTCTTTCTCTTTCTCTCTTTCTCTTTCTCTCTTTCTCTTTCTCTCTTTCTCTTTCTCTCTTTCTCTCTTTCTCTCTCTCCCCCCCTTCTTTCTTTCTTTCTTTCTCTCTTTCTCTCTTTCTCTTTCTCTCTTTCTCTCTCTCCCCCCCTTCTTTCTTTCTTTCTTTCTCTCCCTCTCCTTCTTCCCCCCCTTCTTCTTTTCTCTTTTCTTTCTCTTTTCTTTCTCTTTTTCTCTTTCGTAAGTGCTTACAAATGCTAATGCAGGACACAAAAATCAAAGAATGCCCAGCACACTTTCCCCCCAACACAATGTATGACTTTGTGGAAATCTGTGGAATTTCGGCTTTTGCTGTATCCAAGCGACATGGTTTACAGTTTGCTGGATGCAGAAAAATTCCCTTCATTAAAAGCCAAAATAGTTGTTGCATGGGAGGTTTAAGAATTGAAAAATGAAAGAACTTGCAAAAAAAAAAAGTAACAAAGGAAAGGGCCAAGGCTTTAATAAAGAGGAAAACGTTTAAAGAGGCAGCATGTGCTCAAAAGCAGTAATAAAGTTTTTGATTCTAAATATCCCTTTAAGAAATCAGAAAGCACAGCATTGCTATGGAGTACAAGACGTGGAGCTCCCTCTTGGTCACTGTGCTGACAGGGACTGTAGTGACATGAGTTTATTCCTGAGCTTTAGAGGCTGCCCATTCATGCAAGTATTGCTGCGCTTTTTGATGGTATGATTATTTTCTAATCTTTACTATGCATGCACTGAGATGTTGCTGTTGTGTCTTAATGATACAGTTGTTCTTAGGTAATTACTTCATTTGGTTTAAGTTCATGAAAATGAAGCTCAGTATTTAAAAGTAGGAGAGGTTTTGAGCCCATCAGTCTAGAATGACTTTGTTTAGAGCAAATCCCATATGTTTTGTCACCTCCCTTAGCTTAAGCCGCGGCCCTCAACAGGGTTTCAGAACCAACAGGTAAAGAGACATTAGGACAATTTTGGAAGGTCCTGAATTAATACGAAAGTGTGCGTGGGGGGGGGAAGTGGTTTGTGACTCAAGTCTTTTATAGCCTGAGGACAGTTTAGTCTTTCACGCCAGTAAAGCTCTCCTGCTGTTCCAGCAAAGGATGCGAGAGAAAAGAGAATTGCCCCAAGCTAGATGACAGCTCACCTAGGTGTGGAAAATCTCTGACCTTTGCTAAACCTAAGCAAACTTAGATGATGTGCTTTTATTTCTTCTTGTGAGGTGCATATACAGTCTGTGTGTGTGTGTCTTTCTCCTACCACACCTCTCAGGATGGAAAAGAGGCTGCTGCTGCCTTGTGGGTGATTGCAATCTGGTGCTATAGAGGTAAAAGACTCCTAGGTGTTTTGTCTCAATGTCAAACAAGTTAATTTCTGTGTGTGTGTTTAAAGGCAGCAGAATTTAGATTTTTCTCTGCGGAGGTTTACAGGCAGGTAAATCCATTGAGGTTAAATGCACAGACATTTATTACATTTCTGTTTGCATCAGGTCCGTCCAGACACCTCTTACCCCTGACAAGCCTGGTGGATCAGTTCTGGAGGAAAGGGCTGTGCATCAGGCAAAGGCCAGCTGATCATGGGTTAGGAAACTGCCCTGCTCTGCAGGAGCTGCACTGGACACCTTGTCCTTCCCCAGGGTCCTTAGAACAGCGTGATCCCACCTCACTTCAAAATCTGAATTATTTGCTGTTAGCAAACAGCAGTGGATGAATTTGGGATTAAGTTTATTTACCCTCTGAAGGATAAGGCCAAGGAGTGGTGCTTCTGCCAACACACCTATCCGGCAGCTTCCCTCCTGCAGCAGAAGTGTAGTCCAAAACCCACAGCTAATGGGTGAGGGCCAGGTCTGCTCGGTCTTACTGTCACTGATAGCGATTGTCCCTGACCCAAAAAAGCATGAGCTCTGAGGCCTTAGCCCTGTGAATGTGAAAGCATGTTAAAACTTGAAGTTAGGGATATGCACTGGAGGCCCAGCGGGCTGTGGTACCTTCATCCCTTTGGGACGTATGGAAATGGGTCCTAAAACACCCTGTTAGGCTCTGAGTCCGTATGTTTGCAAGATCAGGTCCTAAATGATTACACAGAGCACCCAGAACAGCAAATTACTTTGTCGCAATATCACTGATTAATAAGGGACGCTTCTACAAGTTCATTCTTAAACTTGTTACAGAATTAAATTGCACTCTTTCGGTAAAGGCTTCAAAGGAACCTTTCTGAGAGAAAAGCAACAAGTTTGAAAACTATGAGGTTTGGGTTTGCTTTCAAATTTTATATATTCATGTGTGTGTGAGCTTGTGTACAGTCTACCTACGAAACACTAGTCCTGATGCTTCAAAGCCCTCCGATCGCCTAATTGTTCATACCCGTGAAAAACCCATAGGGATGAAAGCAGAGCAGAACTGCAGCATTTTCAATTTGCACCAGGTGTAAATGACAGGTGGAAACTGCTGACGTTCGGGGTCTTTATGCTGCAACACAGACATTGTCGGCTGGAAATTATTGTCACAGGAAACCATTAAAGCAGCATATTCCCTATGGAAGCCAATGAAACTGTGTCAGCCAGGCTCTCCAGGGCAGAGCCAGGAACTGACCCTCCAACATGCCATCAGCTTTCACGCAGTGAAGGGGAGCTGGGTGTCTCCAGATAAACCCATAATTAATTTTTCTGAATCTTCCATATCGTGCC